CGACCATACGCCGACAGATACAGGGACAGTTGTCGCTTCCTCATCGGCCTTTCTATCAAAGTCAAACACGCGTTCCATCAACTAACGGCGTCGTTCGGGTCGTACAACGACGTAGCCCGGCGAGAGATGCCGACCGGCACCGTCATGATGCCGCTAACACTGGGTCGCGGCATCTGCGGCATCAACGCTTGCAACTACGCATCGACGTCGATGTTGAACATCAGTCCACAATTCTGTTGTCTGGTGCAGTCGTTGCAGACAGTTCCGTACTCTCATTCGACTTCGTTATCGGCAGATCACACCACGTTCGCAGAAGCACGTCAATTAACCGGCTGCAGGCCCAGTTGCAGGGAAGATACAGGGAAGATGCTCCTGGCGCGAAACTGACAAACAGTGAGTTGTCTAGAATGGAGCGTGAGGGTGTATGGAGACTGTTGTGTAACCAGCGAGGAGGGGGTTGGAGATTGGGATTTGGGTATTTAAGAGTTGGCAATGACCGTCGATTTCAAGCATCATTCATCGACCATACTTTCAACTTCCACCTCCTATCCAAACACACCTACCACTGCAAAGTCTCCATCTCGCCACCATGCCTCTCACCAAGTACAAAGCCGCCTGTGTAAATTCTCACCCTTACTTTCCCCCTACGCCCTCCATCTGATCAAAATACAGGTCACTTCCGAGCCCTGCTGGTTCGACCTCGAAGCCGGCGTCCAAAAAACCATCAACTTCATCAAAGAAGCCGGCGACGCAGGCTGCAAGCTCATCGCCTTCCCTGAAGTATGGATCCCCGGCTATCCGTACTGGATGTGGAAGGTCAACTACCAGCAATCGCTTCCCATGCTCAAGGGGTACCGTGAGAACTCGCTTCCTATGGACTCGGAAGAGTTCCGTCGGATTCGCCGCGCTGCGAGGGATAATCAGATGTAAGCACTGCCCAGGTGTGAGCCTGCATTTGGAGACTTAGATTGACTGATATCCCGCACAGCTACGTCTCCCTCGGCTTCTCCGAAATCGATCACGCCACGCTATATCTCGCGCAGGCCCTAATCGATCCCACAGGCGAAGTCATAAACCACCGCCGCAAAATCAAGCCCACACACGTGGAGAAGCTCGTCTACGGCGACGGCGCAGGCGACACCTTCAAATCCGTAACTAGCACCGAACTCGGCCGCCTCGGCCAACTCAACTGCTGGGAAAACATGAACCCCTTCCTCAAAGCGCTCAACGTGTCCGAAGGCGAGCAAATCCACATTGCCGCCTGGCCCGTCTACCCGGGTAAAGAGACGCTCAAGTATCCTGATCCGGCGACGAATGTGGCGGATCCGGCGAGTGATCTTGTTACGCCGGCGTATGCGATTGAGACGGGGACGTGGACGCTTGCGCCGTTTCAGAGGTTGAGTGTCGAGGGGCTCAAGAAGACGACTCCTGAGGGGGTGGAACCAGAGACCGATCCTAGTACTTACAACGGTCATGCGCGTATCTACCGCCCTGATGGCAGTCTCTACTGCAAGCCTGATAAGGACTTTGATGGTCTGCTCTTTGTTGATGTAAGCTTCTATCGCTGTCCTCTCGCTCCTACCAGTCTACTAACATATCCCAGATCGATCTCAACGAGTGCCACCTCACCAAAGCGCTGGCTGACTTCTCGGGCCACTACATGCGTCCTGATCTCATCCGTCTGCTCGTTGATACTCGTCGCAAGGAACTCGTTACCGAGGCGGATACCAATGGAGGGATTGCTACTTACACTACGAGGGAGCGCCTGGGGCTGAATGTTCCGCTTGATGCGCAGGCGCCTAAGGGGAAGGCGGGTGCGGGGGATGCGGCTGCGACCTCCACTATCTAGGGTTGAGAAACCGCAGCTAAGGTTCTGGTGTCGTTCGATCAACGGATTTGATTAGCTATAGCGGCAGCTCAGGTACTACATACAAATTGAATATCTCCACTTCTCACAAATACCTCACCTCTCAGACTCCCGACATACACCCCGCCTACACCCTTCGCAGTTAGCTTGATCGTGTGGCGGAGTTTGCCTCGGCGCGTGCTCAGATTGCACCTCCTGCTGCACCCCGCTCCATTTCAGGAGCCTGAATGAAACCCTTTCAACATAAGAAGCCTCATCCATGATCAATCTTCCGCGCCAGCTGCATTCGCTACACCGCTGTTTGAACACCTCGGCGTTGTAGCTGCCGTTCGGATACTGCCGTATGAGTATCGTGATCTTCCCACTTCTCCATGCATCCTTTTCGCACGTGGTGTTGTCACAGCGGAACTGACCCATTACGAAGGTAGAATACTCTTTGCTTGTTCCTACGCTGGTGTTTGTGTTGTTGAACGTGAGCCAAGTGATGTGTGGTGACACTGCGTTTGAGACGTCTTCGTGCAGAGACGGAAACATAAGAGTGGGAGGCGGTACCATCTTCGAATTCTGATTTGACTGAACGCAGACTGTGTGTGAGACCAGAGATGAGACGAAGGGGATGGGAATATAACTTCCAATGAGTTTGCTCGACGAACCATGCGCCCGTGACGCGGGGCTTCCAGTGAGTGCCATCGTTTTCCGATGTGATAGTTACGGCTGCCACTTCGCGCCCTTCTGACCCGGAAAGTAGCGTATGTCACACAGGTATAGGTACCTGTTAAACGTGGTATGCTCCGTAGGGGCGTGGTTGTTTGTTTCTCCAATTGCGGGGTGGAGTAGCGCAAGGCTGGCAAGGCGGGTTTGCGCGACATGGAACCTTTGGCAACCCCATGTTGAGCCTACCTGCCGCGATGAACGGATGTATATGAGTCATGCGCGAGATTCTGCATGTGGTAACTGCACGATGCCGCTCTTTCAACTGTTTCTGGCGTTCCGCATTATTGGCATGCCTAGAGCGCTCTGATCGTTGGCAAGTCGTGGACTCATTGGTCTGATACAAATTATTGTTGTTGGCGTTGTCTCCTGGGCTTGATGAGGAAGACAGCTCGACGTGCAACGATGAGTCCTACTAGGCTCGAATGTTATGAAGGAGGTGTGGTGGTGATAGCGGAAGTATAGGCGGGACGTCAGCCGGCACTAGCGCAGAGGGCCGCCGCGGGAGTCATGGATCCTTGTCGCAACTTTACTTTCTCCAAATCTTCCCCACCACCACCAAACCCCAACATATGACGCCCGCTACGACCTCACCTTCATAACAATGGCTGACGCAGACGAAGATGCGTCGCACTTGCGCGTACCTGATGCTGCCGACTATGACCCCACGGAGGAAGCGCAAGATTTCCTGAAGCTCGACAAGCTCACGTACGCCTTCACATGTCGGGCTGTCTTTCATTGTATTGCTGACATAACTACTCAGAGCACAAGACAGCGCGCATCCCACATTACCCAAACGCGGCGAAAAGGACTTCGAAAGCCATGAGACGAATCTTCAGCTTGACACCCTCGAAGCCTCGCGTCGGGCCATGCACGGCGTCCTCTCGTGGCAGCGCACGCACACGCAAAAGGGCCACATTCTGGCCATGTACGACCCCGAGCGCAACATGGCATGCGTAGACAAGGTCCGATCACAGCACTTCCAGACGATAGGCACGAACAAAGGTGGAAGAGAATGGTTACTGCCAGAAGAAGCCTTGTTCTTGCTCGAGCGAGGGACATTGGATGTTCGGTGGCCGGTCAAGCGGGAAGTGGGCGACAAGACAGTATACAGGACCGAAGACGGCGCGCCAATGAGCTTGCAGTCGGCATATGCCGCCTTCATCGGATTCGAGAGCGGCGTCGGTGGAAAGTTGACACTGGAGATGTACAATGTCTACGCAGGACTGAAGAGATCGGGCTACGTCATCTTCAGAACAGGAACATGGGACCATGATAGAGGAGACGTCGTCTTAGCACCACCCAAGACAGAAGAGAACACCAAATCGGGACCAGGAGTCGTCACCCGCTTCTTCTCCGATCTATGGCGGCGACTGAGCGAGCCCACATACCACATCTCATCCGAGCAGCTCGCGTTCGGCCCACTCATCAAGCCCGGCTTGTACCGAAGCTACAACGATGTCTACCGCCTCCTCAAGCTGATTCCCACCTACGACCGCTCCGCCCCACCCACCTTCATGCTCCCACCTTCGTCAGACAACCCATACCGCGTCCACTTCGACGTCTACCGCACCACGGCCCGATTCAAGAAATCCGCCCGCGGACCCCCAGACTTTCGCATATGCGTCGTCGACGCGCGCTCGACGCCTATACCAACAGGCGCACAGCTGAATGATCTCATGGCGCAGGTGCCTGAGGATAGGCCAAAGGGCGATGGGGGCCACCCAAACCAGAGACTGAAGCATGGGTGCAGGAATGTGGTGGTGGCGGTAGTGGATAATGGCATACCGAGCTATCTTAGGATTGCCGATGCTCCGTTCGACGAGGTCAAGATTTATGAAAGGTCGGCGCCGAGAGGGAAGGTTGGGGGGAGAGGAAGAGGTGGTGGTAGGGGTAGAGGGAGGGGGAGAGGTCGCGGTCGTTGAACATGAGCATGCAGCGCACGAATACCACTGTCACCGACATCAGACTGTCATCGAAACGGCTCAGCTAAGGGCTTCGCCTCGACCGCAGAGGCCTCCCGCCAAGCAATCGTCCCCGAACCAAAATCAGTTTACACGAGACGGAGAGCTCGACCAAGTCAGACCTACCAAGGCCGGTGAACACTCGGCTGATTGCTGTGTCAAGCGGCGTAACAACCCGGGACAACTATCCGATCACGTCATACTGTGGTATGAGACACCAGGCACAGGCGTAGAGATGTCAACTCTGTCAAAGGCACGAGTAAGAAAGATCATGTCGCATTAAGCCTATCAAAACAGCTATGAAATGAGACTCAAAGCAAGCACGATATTAGGCGGGCCTATAAACCCTGACAGATAAATACTCAACACAATACAGAATCTCTTGTCCTCCTCGGCATTACATTCCTCGATTGCGTCAAACCGGCCCATAAGCTCACCTCATTCATCGGTCATCCCGCTCAGTACATTGGGTCGCCAACAGCTGTGATAGATGCAGTGCACACACCATTCTGGCAGTATCCGGCGGGTGTAGCCCAGCCCCAGAGTTCTACACAAGATTAGCCTCAAGTCACGGAGCAACGATGGACGAAGACTTACCGATCGACTTTCCATTCTGGAAGATGGCGTTTGCGGCGCCCGAGATAGTCGCGGAGCAAACTTGCGTGCCGCTGAGCTGATCGCAGGTGATGATGAAAGGAGCCGTTGCGGTCACGGGCGCACTGGCAGTACCGTAGCAGCGTCCGCTCTCGCACCATGCCACCACGCTGGTGTTGGTACCGTAGTTGCTGCCGTCGATAAGAAGGTTCTGGATCGTACCGGCTACGGTGATGTTGCACCTGTAGGATGCGTCGCATGCGCCAGACACTGGTTTATGTGTTAGTTGATCGAACGTTTCCGAGGCTAGTGGATAGCATTGAACACTTACTGAGGCCATAAGCAGCACCGAGAACACCAGAGAAGGTCTTGTCGATCACACCTGGCATAGCGGGGAGGTTGTCGAGCGTGAGCTTGCCTTGTCCCTGGACGGGGGCAGAGAAGGTGGACGGCAGAGCGGTGGGAGCGGTACCCGAAGCGGCAGTGGGTGCCGCGGTGATGGTGGATGTAGAGGCTTTGGCTGACGAACCTCCCAAGCTGGCGTCCACAGCGAGCACCGTGGCGGATGAGAGCTTGACGCCCAGGAGGGGCGAGGATGAGCCACCGACGTTGACACCGAGCAGAGGTGCGGTAGTGGTCGTGGTGGCTGCTGCGCTGCTGGCCCTGGACGAGACGGCGGCTGCGCTGCTGGCTTTGGACGAGACCACCGGTGCTGCGCTGCTGGCTTTTGAGGCGACTGGGGTACTGCTGGCTTTGGACACGACCAAGGCGCTGCTAGTCTTGGAAGTCACCACTGCGACTGCACTGCTAGACTTGATGACGGCCGCTGCGCTGCTGGTCTTGAGAGCACTGGACGTCTTCGCGGTGGTGGTAGCGCGTGCGTCGAGGACTGGCGCAGCTGCAGCCAAAGCGCTGAAGAAGGTGATGGTAGCGAGGAGCTTCATCTTGATTGATATGATGGACCGAGCGATTGAGAGTAGTGATCGAGGAAGCGAGAGAGATGCCGAGGAGGACAAGAGATCAAGAGCGAAGGATAAGCTGTAAAGCTTGTAAAGCGAGAGCTGGAGATGCTGAGGATGCCTTCTTCATGCAGCAGAACTGCCTCGTCTTTATGTCTTTCGTCAAAACAAGAGCCGTCACCCTGAAGCGTCCCCTAGGCCAGCATCATTTGGATTTCCTCCTCAGCCACTCCCTCGATCGATGCCGACGAGCAATGCCAAATTGCAGTCTTCCCCTCCTGGTCTGGCCCTCTCCATCGCGAACGTGCCCTGGATCTAGAACTCTGGTATCCAGAACGGCCAGCAAGAACGCTTGGTGTATGCCATCGGGACTGCGCGAGGCTGCCGGAGCTGGGGTACCTGCTTTGCCGCAACTATGATTGGTGCGGACCCGATCCGCTTTCGCGCCATTCTCCTGAGCACCAACGTCTAAGCAATTCCAAGGTACGGGTGCCGTTCCGCCATAGGCTTGAGTGGAGTATCACGATCTGGAAGCGGGCACTGGTGCATTGCGCAAAGGGCTGGCCCGTCGACCTGGTTGCTTGATGATGCGATAAGGCGCCAAGAAGTCGATTTGCATTCGATCGGACACGGTCATTTTGCTTGAATACCTACCATGTAAGGTTTGGTGCTAGGGAGGCTAAGCACTAGTTCCCGCAAACCATAAGTGCTCGCCAGGGGTGGTGCCCAACGCGGGGTTGGCTTTCAGGGTGCAACACCATCTCCATTCTGGATGATACTGATCAGCGGAAGGAGTATGGTCTTCCCCACGTTCCAGCCGTTAGATACGGTGGAACGTCTTCGTGGATGAAGTGGGTCTTTGATCGACACCTTGTCAGCGCTCTCTCAAGGCTGTCTTGCTCGATACCTGATCAACCTCCCAACTACAATATCTCAACGACAACCTCTGCACGATCTGGCGACTGACAAATACACGTCAAGGTTGTAGCTGTCTTTTGACCTGCAGCCTCTATCACAAAGCCATCAAGAATCTCGCTGCAGGCCTAGAGCAGACAAGACACGCCGCCGATATCATTTGACTGCTGCGCGCAGCGATAGCTCCGAAGGATTGAATGCGCCTATGGACGAGATTGGAGGTTGAGCCTGTTTCGCGCTGACCATCGCAAGAGTGATTAGGTGTGCACGTTGATAGCGCAAATACTGTTGGCTTGAAGCCTCGTTCTCGCCGGCATGTTTGGGCTTGTTTCCGACCATCGAAGTTGTAATCAGGAGTGCGCGACGATAGCGTTAATAGTGTTGAATTCAAGCCTCGTTCTCGCCGGCATGACGGTATCAAAGACCGTCACCACTAGCGTAGCGAGCCGTTTGATCGACTTCCCACGTTAGGATCGGCGCAGGGGTGACATTTTGGTAGCGATCGTGGAGTTAGTATCGTGAGGAGCGGGACGACTGCCGTGCGGGCGATTGGGCTGGTGCGCGTGGTAGCGCGATATGTGCACTATGGATGCGTCTTCCGGAGGCAGGTCCCGCCTTGCGTTGTGCTGCGGACGAGCTGGTGTTGTTGATGTCTCAGAGGACGTCAGGAGGAGCCTGTTCTATCGGTGCTACCGAGCGTGAGAGATGGCGACGAGGCTCCCAGGGGTGTGCATCGTGTTGCTCTGCTCAGATTGTCATGCGTTCTCCCGCGATCCAGATCCTGCCCAGGTGAAGTCGGCTTTGGGTCAGTGCACCATGGCCTGAGCTTCACACACCTTTACACACACTCAAGTGGGAGCTACGACTTGTGAACACAGTCGGCAACACCCGAGAGGCCTCGAATCGATGTTGCGTCCAAGCTCAGTATAACGTTATTTGAAAAGACCGGGTACTTGGGTTTGGTATGAGCGCGTGGCGCATGCATGTTAACTATTAGCTTGCGCGCACTGCGGGTGTGTGCCTGAACCACTGCATCTCACACTCGCCTCAGCAACAGATCCTTGACTTGGGCAAACGTCATTCTTCGGAGCTCTGGCCGGCGATGCACTGCATGATAAAGCACGCGCTTAGTCAACTCGTAACGAACAACATGCAGGCTGCAACATCCCCGGTAGTTGGGTGGAAAGAAGCTGAGGTTAATACACTGTAAGAAGTGCTTCCAGAAAGATCTTTTCATCACAAACGTCTACGCTTCTGTAGCTATCTTTCTTGGCCTTGCGGCGCTGCATCGCCTCGAAGTCAACGACGTTGTCGCCCGGTTGTGCGCGCGGGAGACGAGCGCAGCTGCACTTGATCTTGAGTGTGGATTAGCATAACTTTAACGTTCTGTCCAGTACTGGCAAGATTGAGGAAAGCGCACTGTGATTGAGAGACGCATTCGACACCGTGCTTCTCATCGCAGACGTTCTGTGTCGTGAGATGGACGTGTGGCGAAGGCGCGCCGAATGGCATCACAGAAGGGGACCAACGAAAACCTGGCCAGTACTTGGCGGGCGCGAGATCAGAAAGAGAAGACACTCACTGCGACTGCGTGTCTGTGTTTGTATTGGGATATAATGAGGAAAGCGGCACTGGCGTGCTAGCGCCGCGCTACGCGCCTTCTCCATCACGTCTCTCTCCAACGGCAGTGCTGCAAAGCTCACAAAATTGCGACGTCATGAAAGCGCGAACGCAATGATTCGTGCGCATTTTAAATCTGCTACGCCCTTATTGGACCAAATAAGTCAGCAGGTTCCGCACACGCTGTTATGGTTTCCTGGTCCCCACTATGGCTCCGCCTTTATCGCAACGGTGAATTATTCTCGGGGCATTTCGCAACCACGATGAAAATCGAAGGATTCGCTACCCTGAATCCATGACGTAGGTTTCAGGGGAATAAGGCATCGTCATACTTTCCATTTTGACGATTTTAGAAATCCTTCACGCCTGCATCGTGAGGCATTGTGGCCTAAGGGGAGTTGCAGCTTGCGAAGCTGGCCTGCATAATCGTAGACGAACGGAAGAGGACATCTCACAAGACCTATAGTATACAGTGCAAACAATGTACTTTTCATCGACAGCCTTGCGATCAATGAGTTTCGTTGGATTCCAGAGGCTATCGCTCTCGTGAACCACGACTCATGAGTGGATTCACACAGCGTCCAAAGTGGGTTGATACAACCTTCAAACTGATTCGATACAGCATCCACAGTGGGTTAATGCGGCGTTCAGAGTGGACTGGTACGGCTCTGGAAGTGGGCGCATTACTAGGTACCTTGTGCAATGAAGTCACGGATACGCTGAGAGTCGAGGACGTCGCCGGACAAGAGCCCACAAAGCTTATCGTGATGAAGACTTTTCTTTCAGGGTCAGCGTTCGTGACGCCAGGGATTGTCAGTGCCTTCGATCAGAGACTGCCGTATAAGTATATTTGATGCGCCTTGTTTTACGCACTGGACCAACCATTCACAGTAAAGATGCTGTCCAACATATCCATGGACGGACTACCACAAGTCCCATATGCTCCGTCAACCTTGTCCCTGGTACCCCTGGCACAGTCTTTCCCAGCAATAATTGCCATCTTGCTGGGGCTTATAGGCGTACTCTCGGTCGTCGTTAGCACCAGCGGAAAACCGATACATCCGCTAGCAAATCCTCCACGCTGGAACCAGACCACTCTATCAAAACGAATTGAGTTCCTCAAGAACGGAAGGGTGATACTGAGCGACGCGAGGAAACGCTACGGCAAGCAGCCTTATAGGCTGATTGTCGACACGGGCGAATGTCTTATCCTACCTCCTGAGTATGCAGCAACGATACGTAACAGCATGGATCTTAGCTTCGCAAAGGCGATAGAGAAGAACTTCTCGGGACACGTTTCCGGCTTCGAAATGTATGCCGTCTTGCTCCACGAACAAAGACTCGTACAAAACGTGGTGAAGGACCAGCTTACCAAATACTTAAGTAAGAAGCAAGCAGATACATGTGTGCCCTGAAGCTAACAAGCTCCTGAAGACGTCTTGACAAAGCCCCTCTCGGAAGAAGCCAGTCATGCTCTCGACGTGATATTCGGCCAAGATACGGGTGAGATGACCCCGCTATTCGTCTCAAACAGGTGATACGAGCTAACCACTTAGCAGAATGGAGAGAAACCATTATAGCAGACAGCATTCTCCAACTGATCGCCCGTCTCTCCACCAGGGTCTTTCTCGGCGACACCATGTGTCGCAACACGGCGTGGCTCGAAGCTTCCAAGGCCTACACGGTGGCAAGCTTCACCATGATTCTCAAAATGACAGCCCTCCCATCCTCGCTCAAGTTCCTCGTTCCCTGGTTCTCCTCCGAGGCGAAGAACGTCTTCAAACATGGAGACACATGCCGCGCAATCCTCACACCTCTTCTCGCCGAGCGTCGAGCTCTAAAAGCCGAAGCTAGGAGAAACGGCAAACCGGAACCTGTCTTCAACGACATGATCGATTGGTTCGAACTGAAGAGCGGAGGAAAAGGGTACGATCCAGCTCTGTTCCAGATTGCGCTATCTTTCGTAGCGATACATACGACCAGTGAGCTGCTAACGCATGCTATAACCTTGCTGGCGAACGAACCACACTACGTTGCGGCATTAAGGGAAGAAATCGTGAGGGTACTGACAGCCGACGGGCTGACCAAAGCGGCGCTCGCAAACCTCACGTTGATGGACAGCGCGTTGAAGGAGTCGCAGCGGTATAGGCCCGCTGCATTCCGTAAGTCATCCAGTCAATGACGAGAAAGAACCCCAAGCTAACCCTACCCCAGTAACAATGCGCCGTCAAGCCCGACGCACCGTCGTCCTCCCTAACGGCCTCAACATCAAAAAAGGCGAGCAAATCGCCGTGGACGGCTTCAACATGTCAGATCCCAAAGTCTACACCGACCCACACAAATACGACATATACCGCTACCAGCGCATGCGCGCCAGCACCGACCGCGCCACAGTCAGCCAGTCGCATCTCGTTTCCACCGGTCCCAACAACCTGTCATTCGGACATGGCGCACAAGGCTGCCCCGGCAGGTTCTTCGCTGCGAATGAGATGAAGATTGCCCTGTGCCATTTGCTGCTCAAGTACGATTGGCAGTTGGCGGAGGGGACGGATCTGGAATCGAGGTTCTTGTTTGGCGAGACGGAGGCGCTGAGTAAGGGGAATAGGCTGAGGTTTAGACGGAGGAGGGAGGAGATTGATTTGGAGGGGTTGGGGTATGTGTGAGTGGGATTGAGGTAGACGTGTAGAGTAGCGATGTAGCTGTTAATCATGTGATATTATGTTCGTGTAGCATGAAAGCGATAGAGATCAGTATTCCTGATGATAGGCAAGAGATGAATCGGTACTGCAAGAAACATTGCGCAGGGTAAATGAAGCGACTGCTGACATCAAGTTCGACGCATCGAACGTCTTCGTGTATCAAGATATAAATGGAGTAGGGTGGATAGAACAGACGGTCCGTCTCAGCATGCTGTTATGTCGCGATGCGTGCGTGGTGTTGCTGCGGGCGTGCGGGCGCGCGGGCGTGATGAGGGCCGCCAAGAATTAGCGCGTGGCGGGTTCGATCGCCCTTGCGCGAGCTTCCGCGTGCTGTCTCACCTCCTACACTCCATTCACCACCTGTGCGCATTCTGATGCTGGCCGTGAGACTTTCGTATCTGCCTATCCTGTTGTGGTAACAACCGACGAGACTTCGGACACTATGATGGCCTTGCTCGGAAGACATCATTTTACACCAGTACCCGGCGACTTGATCAAGTCTCCGGGATGATGCGTCGCGGTGGGAAACCTTCGGAAACATTACAGTAACCAGCTATCGAGATGGCTCAACGTCGGCATGATTCTAGAAGTATACGAAATGTTTCCGTCCCTTCAGACGATTCTGTACACGTAGGGATGTATATATACTTATCACGAAGCCAAACCAAAGATGCGACACGCGCATCAGTCTAGTCACTCTACAACCTCACCCCTCCCAACTTACCATGTCATCGCAGAACCAGCAGCATGAAACAACCGTCTGGCTCTGGCCGACGGGTTTGTTCCCTCGCCGGGTCGTCTATTACCTCCGCGCAAAGAACATTACCTCTTCGGTGCTTCACGAGAAGAACATCCACCTCATCCCCCTCTTTCTTGACAAAGACGCGCCGACGCCAGACCTCGTCCCCCACCCCGGCCTCGAAGCCCGTCCTACCGGAACCTCGGTGCCGGCACTGCGCATCACATACGCCGATGGCACAATCTTCTGGATATACGAGTCGAATGCGATAATGGAGTACTTCGAAGAAGTCCTCAGCGTGGACAATGGGTATCTGGACGTGAGGGGCGCAACTATCCAACAACGGGCTCGGACGAGAGACATCTTGAGCCTGCTCTCCGATGTCATCACTTGGAGCAACGTCGCGCTTGTACATTCGGATCCGAACACGTTGTCCTGGTCGGGCTTGACAGAGGGTGAGATGAGTGAGAGCGCGGCAAAGCATGCGCGTGGCAAGTTCCACATGCTCTTGTCGCGGTTGGAGGCTCGGATACAAGGAGACGTGGTTGGCAACAAGAGCGAAAGTTTGAGTGGTGATGGCGCAAACGTCACATTAGCGGACCTCTGCATCATGGCCCAGGTGGAGTATATGCAGGAGATGTATGGTCTCGATTGGGTGGCCGAACATGGGGTGTTAAGGGTCTGGTATGATAGGACTAAGGGACAGAATTGGGTTGCCAGTAAGAGTGCGCTGCAGGACGTTGAAAGAACGGGTGAGTGGACCAGGATACTTGACATGTGAGAGCGGCGGTATGTAGTTTAAAGATGCCCAGTCGAAGCTGTACTGCTCTCGGTCGAAAAACTGCTCTGTTCCGCTGTTCCGATGTCGTTGCGCGGCTTTCGAGGTGCAAGGGCTTGGGTCAGCCGCCAAGAACGAGCTTAAGCGGGGCGTCAATCCAGCCACTCCCGCGGCCATGCACACCGTCCCACCTACCATCTCGCAGCATGCACACCTATGGAACTTGACGCGTGACCGCCAGTCAGAACCACAGTCTTCCCAGAACCCGTCGATGAGAGCTCTATTCGTCTTCTCCGGTTCTCGCAGCCAGAAGATGGCGTCTTCGTTGGCAAGCTGCAGAAGTTCGCCATCGCCAGCGCCCCTCATTATTACACAGCCAGCTATGTGTGGGGCGAGCGCAAGTACAAAGGTGCAAAGATTAATCTGAAGACCGGAGGACTACCCATACTAAACAGCCTGGTACCATTTATTCACATGGTCACCCGCCATGGCGACTTCAAGACCACAGACTGGTGGTGGATTGACTCGCTGTGCATCAACTTGGATGATCCCAGCGAACGCGAGAAACAGGTGCGCATCATGGCAGACATCTACAAAAGAGCCAGGCGAGCAATAGTCTGGCTGGGTGAGGAGAAAGAAGACGGTAGCGACTGCACCGATGCCATCGACTTCATGCACTACCTGTCCACCTTGCAGATCGGGTTCAATGGGGACGACCTTGCCATGCGCAAGAAACTCGAGAACCCAGAGTTCACCGATAAGTGTGCCGCCGTCAGTAATCTTCTCGCCAGGCCGTGGTGGACAAGGGTCTGGACGTTACAAGAGTTTGTCTTGCCAAAGGAGGCGAAACTCTACTGTGGCGTGGATAGTATCAGTCGCGGAAGATTCAAAAGCGCCATCTATAGCATCTTCCTTTGCAGCACCATCAGCAAGGACTTTGAACACGAGCTTGTTCCGCGAAAGCTCTTTGATGGAGCCTTCAATCGCCGCCGCATTCATCAATGGCACACCAAGCCAGCCTCGATCGGCATCAACCTGATCGCCATCATGGCGTACCTGGGTAATCACTCCGCCACCGACAGTAGAGATCGCATTTACTCCGTGCTAGGTTTGATCACTGAACAAGACCGAGCGCTCATCGGACCTGCCGAATATACCACCAGTATTGCGCACCAATTTGCACGACTCGTTCGCTCTTTCTGGACCGTCCATCGGTCCCTGGATATCGTCTGCTTCGCGCATTTGTTCTGTCCTAACGCCGCAGTCAGCGACCCCGGTGTCGAAGATCCTGTGCCTACCTGGTCTCCGGACTGGAGGACGACAATCGACTTCGCTTCGCCTGTGCCGCTGATGGCAAGCCAAAGTGCGTGTGAGCACATTGGAAACTTCAGACCGCTACGATCAACACGCTGGAAAGCAATCTACGATGCTCCTGGAGAGACACTGAGGAAAGAAGCAGATGTTTCATTTTCCGAGGACTTGAAGGAACTCCACTGCAACGGTGTCGTGTTGGACACTATTCACGGGCTCGGCGGGCTTGACGAGCGCGAATTGCGATGCGAGAGCTTTGTCTGCCGCGAGGCCGGTCATGACTTGATGCAGTCACAAGAATACCAGCATAGTGCTTCGCGAGTCGCAAAGCAGCCTGCTGAGTGGCTTGAAGCTATAGCGCGGTCCTTGGTTATCGACCGTCGAGACAAATACCTCTGCTTCCAGGCGCCATCGCACTACATCAGCGACTTCCTCTTCCTCTGTCATGCCTGTGTTGACGGCGATCCTGTCGACTGGAGCTTTGCAACATGGTTTGAGCGCAACCGTCATGTGATGTTCGGCAACATGTCGCTCGAAGACATAGTCCGACAGATACCCACCAAATTTTCTTCACCTGCCCCAACACTGCATCGGCCACCGTCGCATCCCGTACATCAGATGAACGACAAGCTCGATACCTTTCTCTCACGCTTCCACGATACTGTGCGGAAGAAAGTGCGCCGGCTGATGGTCACCGAACAAGGCTACGTTGGCATGGCGCCGTGTCGCGCAAGGCCGGGCGATGTCGTGGCTATCTTGTTCGGATGCAGCATCCCGCTTGTCCTGCGGAAAGTGGCTTTGCAAGCTGCGTGGCAGGTTGTCGGCGAGGGCTTTGTACATGGCCAAATGAATGGCGAGATCGCAGACGAGCTGAAGAGCGGGACGCTCAACGTACGTCGGTTGAGGCTAGTCTGAGTCGTTGCAGCTTTTTCTCACGCGCGTGATATGTCGGTAGAAGAAGGAGCTCAGCGAGCGGCACAGCGCATGCAAGGTAATCGGTGCCTCTGCTGTAGCTCAAGCTTCTGGTCCAACTTCAGCCTTGTCAGTGTTGGTGCACCTATTGCCCACCCAGATGACCCGAAACATCTCACCATCAGGATACTTCGAGCGCAACCCATCATGTCGCTAAAGCTCATATCCTTCTATATTCTCTTGCTTTCAAGACTTGCGACGACGCTGCAACTCTTCTAGACTTCGTCCAGGGCTCGCGACTTTCTTTCCCGCACCAGGCTGTCCGCCAATCGACAACACTGCGATAGAGAATTCCACTTCCCGCAGCTATTGACGAAGTGTCGTATCACAGGTCACATGGCCATGTCATTGCGCCTGACAGTCATTTTATTCGTTGCGCGAAGTGAAAATAGTCCCTGGGCATCAAGCGTGTGTCGATCGGGGGCCATTTCGCTGTATGATACCACAGCTTTGCGCCACTTCGCATCGTGATTCGCAATAGTCGGCCCAGGCTGCTGTTAGCGTACGAGAAACCGAAGATAGGTTTGCTGCGCGTAAGTATAAAGGTATGCCCCTTGCACTTGCTGACGGCTGCCCGCTTGCCCTGCCTGCTTCAGCTCTAGATCGCGACACTTTGCCTCGTACCGGAAGATCCGCACAAAAACTTCTCCGACATGTCTGGAGACTTCTACTATCCGATCGTTCCACTCTATGTCAATGTCAATGACAAGGTGGAGGTGTCGTGGTGGTCAACATTTGCCAAGCGACTGCAGTTCTGGTGCTATGAGAACGACAACAACCCAGATCTAGGTTACAGTGCGGCCCTCACAACATATCTTCAAGATCATGTTTGACCTGACGAGATGTTAGTATACGAGTACGACATTCCGCAGAATGGCACGCAAGATCTGTCGCTGCCAATGCTGGAGCAGGACGTGAAAGATTGGAGCGAGCCTGTCGAGTGCGGTATCAAGTTCTATGAGAGAGGTGGAACCACGACTATCTACGCCTCTTCAGTCACCATAAGCTCCGTTGCAACTCAGCCCGCATCGATCTTTGCTTTGTCGTCGACCGTCACGTATGAGCGGACCACGACAAGCGCGCCGGCCTCGGGCACCGCATCAACCCCCGCCAACACAGGCAATACAGCACCGCCAACCGTGACGCCCACCAACCCAGTCGTCACCACAACCTCGAGCGACAGTGCTGGTCTGTCCACAGGAGCGAAGGCTGGCATCGGCGCCGGTATCGGTGTTTCCGCGTTGCTTGTCGCGGCGGCTGCATACTTGTTCTACCGCAACCATCGCAAGCTAAAAGACCTCAACGCACGACTTAGCTACCAATCTCAGGCCGAACAATTCAACAAGCCTCCGGGTGTTGCGGTCGCGCCTCATGGAAGCAATGGAAACGAGAGGCCGTACAGCGAGGCTACAATGTCGCAGATTCATTCTTCGCCGCAGGTACCGGTGCAGCTTTCCTAGACATGCGCTTAGGGTTTAACGGCTGCTACTATTGCGCGTCGCATTCGCAGGGTCTCTTGATTAGTTCTGTGGCATAATACTAGCTTGTTGTCGTTCGTTCGATTGCTCCGCTTGCACATCCCTCATGGCCATGACTACAGAACGGAAGCGAAAAGTGTTGTCAGCTCGACTGGGAATGCCTCTCACCACTCTTCAGAAGCGTGTCTGAACCCCACACGAAGCCACAGCAACCCTGGTCAACCACCATCTCCGACTTTCCAACCCCCGCAACGTGCGTACCAAAAGTTCCTCTCGAAAAGACTCAGGCTCGAGCGCGAAGCCCAAAGGCCTTGTCTGGATCGCTGTGCTTCAGAGGCCCGCCAATTGGCGATGATGCCAAGTGTATGGCGCAGCCCATGTGAGGTGGCCACCACCCGCGTTCTTGGCTACGGCTCAGCCTCACAGAAGCAATCCTGAGCTCCCCCCAACAACAAAGGTCCAACATGACCCTTGCGCCAATTTACCTGGACTCACAATGTGACGAACTCCAGATTCCTAGATCAGCGGCGTCTGCCAGCTTGAAGATGCGCGACACCGCCCCAACTTCTACCGGCGTGCCCAGGCCTGCGGCATGATGTTCCGTATCGCGCTGCATCGTGGACCCACTACAAATAATGACAACGACAAAACATGGCATACTGGCATCTTGTGGCTTCAACATGACGGTCCCCTCCATTCGTTATCGCGAAAAAGAAACTCGCTTGCACATCGGCTAGTGTGCTGAATGGGGGCCATTTCGCTACACTGCGCTCTCAGCCTCACGCCACTTCGCCTCGGGATTCGCGCGCTATCGATTGAGGCTGCGAGAGACTTGCTGGCAATAAAGCTAGGAACATGCGAGGTAGAGATAGGCAGATTGCAGGCTCCTACAAAGCCGCTGCTGCTGCACCGGTATACAATAATCTTTCTATCATTCCGTGTTGCTCCTCAGTTTCTCTTTCTCCCTTCTTCGTCAACCTCGCTTCGCCGAAAGCAACTGAATATGTCAGGTGCCTTCAACTACCCGCGCGAGGAGCACCATGTGGTCCTCAATGTCGATGACTCAGTGGTGGTAGACTGGTGGTCGACTTTTGCGGACACACTCGTGATCCAATGCTATGAACGAGGCGATATCGAAGCAGGGGACGAAGAAAGTGAGATCCACCACAGCCCCTCTTATCGTCGCAGCTCCGCTAACATAGAATGAAGGCTTCAGCATAGTAATCAATCAGAACGGAACCGAAACATGGTCGCCAATCTACCTGTCCCGACGATTCGATGACTGGTCTCTTCCCGCAGGGTGTGTGCTTTCGATGGAAGAAGCGGGCGCCGGTAATATCGGAGGTGCGACGATAGGCGTTACGTCAGCCACTTCTTCTCAAGCTGCATCGATATTCGCTTTGTCTTCGACCGTAGCGTTGAACAGCGAGTCATCGTCTTCACCAACATCAACGCCGGCACCATCCACGACCCCGATCTCAAGCCCTGCTAGTACAGTACCATCGATCCCGTCGACACCCACACCCACAGGGCCGACCGATGCTACCGCAGCAGATGTAAATAGCGGCGGCGGCCTATCGACTGGCTCAAAGGCTGGTATCGGTGCTGGTGTCGCGGTGGGCGCATTGCTTGTGGCAGTAGCGGCATTTTTATTCTACCGACGTCATCGCAAGATGAAGGACATGAATACCAGGATGAGTTATCAACCCGAAGCTGAAGCGCAGCAGTACGAGAAGCCACCTGGTGTTGCAGTCACGCATCACGCAGTCGACCGCGATACAAAGTCATACAACAATACCCCAACTTGGTCGCAGGAACTTCCATCGCCGCATGTGCCGCCGTCGGAGCTTGCTGCTACCTGATGAGAATGCGAAGGCTGGGGGTAGAACAAGGAAGAATGTATTTGATCTGCTATACGAAGGCATTACGGAGGAATTGAATTGCAAGAGGAGGAAGCTGAAAGGGCGAAGGAAAGAAACATACCACGCGCACTCACGTCAATCTCAATAGTACCGATAGACGCGATAAGTATCGCTCACCAGATCAATGGCATGCTCTCGGCCCTGCGCCTTAATCTCAGCCTCCAACTGAGTCGCTCTGAGCTTCTGCTGCGCGTTCATATTGCAACGCTGTGTCGCTTGATCCATGCGCTGCTGTACCTCGATTGGTCGACATGGAGGAAAGACGTATCGCGGTAAGGGCCCACGCTCCGGCCAGACATTGTAAACCCGCAGCGCGTTATTCAACCCAGGGACCACAAAGATGCCGTCGGGATGCGCCGCGCAACTGAATCCAATCCAATCTGTGAATCCGGCCAAGCTGAGCAGAGGCATACCGCCGTATGGTAGCTGCGGCGCGCCCGGATTGCGCGTCACAACCTTGTGGTCGAAGAAGAAGCCTTCCATCACGTTCTTGAACTCGAAGTCTGCCATGTCTTCTTTCGCAAACATGCCACCATACGTGAGACTTCTTTTCCCTACCATCAAAACACGAGAGAGTCAATAGTCGCTCTCGCGCAACCCGCGTACAACTGCACGCTTCATCTAGAGGTAGTGGAGCACTCACAGATGTTGTCAGAATCCGGGCAGCGCGACACCTCCGCGAAGCTCGAGAATGCCTCTGGCGTTATGTACCCGGTGCCTCGGGGATCAAGCTTCGCGAAGAACTGCTGCATCAGCGCTTCAAACGCGGGTGTGGGCGATCCGTTCGTGTAAAACATGTGTTCAGTCCAGCCTGATGGCGGAGGCACCGGCTCCTGAGGCCGGGGAGGAAGCGGAGGTGGAGGGCCGTTCATCGTGAATGAGTGATGATGGCGCGCGAAGTGGGAGTCGCTGCACGTATCTCGCGCGATAGTGACGCGACTTGAATGCGATCCAAGATGCAGTCGCCGTAAGCCCCGAGGTCACAATTGATCTCGTCGTCTGGCGAGGAAGAGGGCAGACGCGGGGCAAGGTAGCTGCCAGCATGGCGGCCAAGACGCGACGTTCAGCTGAAGAACCCTTGCTGATTGCGCGTGCACGAGGCGCCCGTCAAGCGAGTGGCGTATCTCACCAACGAAGCATGTTGTCGCATCTCGCGCATCCCGCAAAAAGACTCTACAACTTCGACGACGCGACAGCGCTGCGGATGCTCTTCGTTCCTCGCACCCTTAACGTCGCGATGCTAGGCAAAGATAACAGCACAGCTGTAGAAGATGTTATTTACACGCGACTACTATTACGTATACTATAGAGAGGTTATTAGAGATAGAATATAATAAGAATACCTTATATTAGAGTTAATTCTTTAACTAACATAATTACGCTATATATAGTACTAGACTATAGTTCGCGAAGATATAAACCTAAGGTATTATTAACTAAACTATAGTTCTACTTTATAGAAAAAGAATAGCTTATATACTTAAATATTAAAGTTAGAATAAACTAGAATAGATATAGTAGTAGTAGTAGTAGTAGTAGTAGTTATAAAAGTCTTAAAATCTACCTTAGTCTAATATACTTTATTATTTAGAAAGAGATATAAAAAGACTAAAAATACTTTATAAAGTAGAACTATTAATAAAGATATAATATAGTTTAGTTTAATATATAAGATTCTGTGTATAGGTCTATATATAGAAGTAAGTAAATACTTAATATTTTTTACTTAATTAGCACTAGGCCTAATTAAGTAAAGATTATAGATTTAATCTACTATACTACTTTCTCTTTTAAAAAAAAGTAAGTTCTAATACTTATAGTATTCTTTTTACTTTATATAATATATATATTAGTATAATTATAATATAAATATAATATCTATATTATAAAAGCTATATAGGCTAAATATTTTATACTCTATCTATTATTCTAACTATATTAGAATTCTAACTTCTATATCTAAAGACTATAAAAACTAGCTAAAGTGTTTATTCTATACTAAATCTAAAATAGTATAGTATATAGTAAAAGACTTTACTCTACTAGTAAAAGGCTTCTAAATTATAGCTTTAGATAGTTTAATAATATTATAATAAGCTATAAAAAAGCTTCTAATATATACTATATAGCGTAAAGCTTTAGTAAAAAGCTACTATATTCTAGTAAAAGCTAGGTAGAATATACTCTAAAACTATACTAAAAGTCTATAGTAAAAGGCTATATTAAAAGGCTACTATATTTAAGTAAAAGATATCTAAAGTATAGCTATAATATATAATAAAAAATATAATAGTAACTAATAATCTAATAGTCTACTTAAAAAAGTACTAGTAAAAAACTTATTATATATAGGTTTTCTTCTATATAGTATAGTAAATCTCTTTTCTACTTAAGAAGCTAGATATATAATATTATATATAGTTTATTCTATTCTAAAGATATATAAAGTAGTATTCTTTTATCTATTATCTCTTATCTTAGATAACTCTAGGCTTAGATAGTCTAACCTCTCTACTTAAATAAAAGCTTAGAGTTTAAGTTAAATCTATTCTACTTCTATAGTTTTATACACTATAATATATTATTACTAGTAATATCTAACTTATTAGTATTATCTACTTATATTCTTTAGCCTATAACTTCTATAGTTTATTCTATAGCGCTAGCTTAGATAGCGCTCTATTAACTATACTATACTAGTTTTAATAATAGTACTTATATTATAGTCTATTACTTCTTATTCTCTATATATACTATATTTTTAAGTCTATCTTACGTAGTATATATTATATATAATATTATATTATAGAGCACTTTTAATTACCTAGTTATCTTTTTTAGTTTCTATCTATACTCTACTCTTTATCTTTATTACTATTACTAGCTATATCTATACTATCTATACTTTTATAATTATCTAAATTACGTACTTTTAATATTTAAAAAAACTATAATCTATTCTCTACTAGCTCTATTAGTAACTCTACTAAATAGTTTTCTAAGTTACTTTTATAAATTACTTTAAGAAATAGCTACTTAGAAAAGAGTTTCTTCTATATATAGCTTATAAGTAATAGTTCTACTACTTTATAAAAACTACTAATATTATTATTATATTAGGTAACTATCTCTATCTAGTTTTCTAGTTTTAGAATTAGCTTCTACTCTATAAATAAATTTAGAATAAACACTTTTAGTAGTAGTATAAAGATACTAAAACTAAACTTTTACTTTAGTATCTACTAACACTTTCTATATTCTAAGTACTAGTTCTAGTTATAATACTTAGCTATATACTTAATTTATATTAATTTCTTATCTATATTACTACTAATTTTATAGAAGAGTTATTCTTTAGTAACTATTACTATCTTCTACTCTCTTATACTTATAAGCTTTCTCTATCTTCTTAGAATATTCTCTTACTATTTATATTCTAAGTAAAGAGTAGATATTATATATTAATACTATATATTATATATAATTTTTATAGTTTTACTATAATATATAGTTACTAGTAGTATATAAAAACTTTATATCTTACTAGTAGATAGCGCTTTCTTAGAATATCTACTCTCTTACTATAAAAGAATAAGCTTACTAAGCTATAAATTAGAAATAATATCTATTTCTTATATTATTTATAGCTCTACTTTATATACTAGAGCTAGTACTATAGTATTTATAGTTATAAATAGGTATCTTCTACTTCTAGTAACTTTTCTCTATATTTCTAATACTACTTTCTATTCTCTTAAACTTTCTACTATTATAACTACCTTTACGTAGTTTATTATTTTAGCTATCTTACTTATACTAATCTTCTTTAACTATTTTATAAAGTTATAGCACTTAATTTTATAGTCTAAATATATAATTTTATTTTATTATACTACTACTAAGTCTTATATACTAGTAATAGTTTCTACTAGTATATAGTTTAACTATTTCTTTAATTATTAATTAATCTACTTTATTATTATTTTCTTTTTTATTTTCTTTAATAGCTAATCTAACTCTTTCTTATTAGATAAGATATTTCTATTTAACTATAGATTATTATAAGCGTAGTTAATAAACTTTACTAAGCGCTTTTTTATAACACGCTAATATAGCTACTATATAGTATTTTCTAGTATATATATAATAAATAACTATATACTTTCTACTATATCTAAAAGAATATAATAAACTATATTATTTAGTTCTATATATTAGTAGATCTCTTATACTATCTTACTTATATCTTTATTCTTCTAGAGTATATTTAATATAATTTCTAGTTCTTTAGTTACTATTATATAGTTTTTACTATTCTTCTCTTAAACTCTAGAAGCTTTAGATAAAAATAGAGACGTAGACTATTTTTATTTAGTATAATATATTAGTAGATTTTATTAGTCTAAATACTACTTTTATATATCTATTTAGTTTATAGATTTAGAAATATATAAGAATAAAAAAACTATATATAGTAAGTATAAAGTATTTAGAAAATATACCTATATTAAGATTACTATATAGAGTTACTAACTACGTTTTATTACTTTACTCTATATTAACACTTTACTATAATAAGAATAAAAACTCTCTTTAGACTTTTTTTCTTTTTCTATTCTATTTTATCTTAATCTACTACTATATTTTTATCTATATCTATCTATTAGTATATCTTTTCTTAACTATATTTTCTAAATTAATATAACTAATAGGCTTATTATTTACCTAATACACTAGTATATTATACTTTTAGAAACTATTAAGAAATACTTTTAGAGATATTATTCTAAGAATATCTAATCTAAGAATTATACTATTATATAGTAGAAGGCACTAGACCTTATCTATATATCTAGCTTTAAGAAAAACTATATAGATTTTTTCTTTATAAAGCTAGATAGCTTTTCTCTTAACTTTATTTAGTATCTTTCTATATATCTACTACTAGTATATACTGTAATAGGCTTAGACTTTACCTAAGCCTTAGCTTAGTATATAGAGTAAGGCTTACTATAAGCTCTCTCTCTAAGAAATATAATATCTTTACTAACGCTTATTATAGCTACACTTTAAGGCTAGTCTATAATATTTATATTTTTTCTTCTTATACGCTATATCTAAGTATTATAATAGTAGAATCTAGTATATAGAATATCTAAAAGTTTCTAAAAGTCTCTTTTCTTACGTTGCTCTATTAGCTTTCTAAGTAGATAGTAGCTATCTATAAGGTATAGGCCTAGAACTACGTTATAATAGCAACGTTGCGCTTCTAGAATAAGAAACTATATAACCTTATTACCTTAATATACTCTACGCCTAGCTCTATAATATTACTACCTATTACTATAACTATAACCTTATTAGTACCTACGCTATTCTTCTTAGTAGCTATAGTACTACTACCTCTAAGTTCTTCTACTACTATAGTAGCCTCTATCTTCTACTATAAGGCCTTACCTCTAGAGAAGCTATTTACTAGTAATAGAATATACTTTTATTTATAGCGTATT